CTTCTTAATTATGTTTGTTCTTAGTTTTACAGTTTGGAATTTATAAAATCAAAAAGGGTACGTAGTTAACCGATCTGCTTTACAGTTAGAGTTGATTGCAGGCATCGCCTCATCATTTAGTTAGTGGTAAATAATTCACCGTAATGGAGATGTTTAATTTGAAATCGATAGTTAATCATTTGCAACGAAAAACGATTCAGAGCGGAGACGGTCGTCAGCCTAATATATCATAATTCATAATATAATATGATAACTCTGTAGTAATTGGTTTTATACTATTCTTATATTATAGGTACCACTATGGTATTACCTACCTTTACTTATAGGCTCAATAGGATAAAATTCATCTTAATGTTTTGAAAATGTCATTGTGTGTACATACGATATTATAAAAATACATTTTAAAAATGGGTAGAAAATTTAATGTAATTGGTGCATTCAGGAGGTCAACATTTAAAATTCCCATTAGCTTTCAATGGCGTTTGGAAAATCAAAAAAATAAATAAGGAAAAACGGATATATTTCGACTCGTTTGGAGCCATTTATAGACATTTTCAATTTTAATTTTTTTGTTTTTCATTCTATGAATGTCAATAAAATTGTATTTCCTTTCCGTCAAAAAGCGTGAAAATGTAATATAAGGCTCTTCATATATTGTTACAATAGCAGTTGAAAAATAGTAAACATACATTGAAACGATTTTGTTTTATAAGCATTTAAAGTTCAAATGTTGACAAAATTTAACAAATTGAAAATTCACAAATTATTTTTTAATCAAATAGGTATTTATAAATTGCTCAACTTTTATCTAAGGAGTAAGGATCGAAAATTTAAACCAAGTTGTACACAAGTTATTAGTTCTGTAACCAAAAAGTCTAAAAAATGTATTATTATATTAACACAGTTTTTTTGATAGTTATTTTAAGTTCAAATTTGGATGAAATTACATATTTAAATCAAGAATAACGATTTTAGTTATTTCGTTCTTATTAAAAAATATTATTATTATGTATTTGAAACTTTAATGTAGGTACCTATATCATAATATTTTATACACACAAATTCACAATGACATTTTCAAATGCATTTTTTTTCGGAAAAAATGAATTTAATCTACTGTAGTACTAATGGCTAATAGTGCAATAAACTACTTAAATCACAATAATATCATAAAATATATTTTGTATTATTTTGGGCTGACATTCCACTTTCGCTTAGAATTATTTTTCGTATACAGTGATTTTTATCATTGAATTCAAATTTAACACATCCATTACAGTCAGGCCCGTATTTACAAAAATTGCCGCCAGGGGCAACATAAAATTTGCCGCCCCCCCCCAAAAAAAAGAAAAAAATTTACTTTAATGATATTACACTATTGTAGTAGTAAATAGGTACATTAATATAAAATAAAACTCAGGTATAACTATAATAACCAATATATTTTTAAAACATTCTTTAAAATAATAAAACAACTTAAAAAATAAAAATATTCAATTATAACTTCATAACTTTTCTTAAACTTTTCTGCGAGATTGTTTTGATGCAAATGATTTAATAATATCATCGTAATCAATCGTTTTGGTTATAGATGACTCTATGTTTAATATGGCTAAACTGTTCAATCTTTCTGATGACATGGTTGATCTTAAATATGATTTAATTCTACGTAGAGTGGAAAATGATCTTTCCGTTGAACAGTTAGAAGCAGGAGTACATAGAAACATTCGGAGAGCAACATAAACATAAGGAAAAATAGATTCTATGTTTTTTTCTTTAATGAATTTACACATATTAATGATATTTGCTGGAGGGTTTTTAATAGTTTTAAGCAAGCTCTGAAAATGAACACACTCGTTTTCAAATGTTTCATCCAAATCATTTTTGTATATTTTTCTTAATTTTTTTGCACCATCACGAACTTCTGAGGTTTTTTTTTCACTAATATTTAAGAAAAATAAGTATTTAGATATTATATCATCATAAGAAATTTTTCTTTTTTTTAGTTCTTCTATTAAATTATCACAAATAATGTAAATGGTATTAATTTTGAAATTTTCGGGTCCGTTTAAAATAGCATCTGGTTCAATAGATTCATCATTGCGTTTCTTACGTTTTCTATTTTTGTGTTCATAGTCAGGAATTAAGTCATCATTGTCAAACATAGCTTTTGCCAACTTTTCATAATCATTAAACATTGAACATAAAGTTTGCACATATTCAATTAACGAATTATACAAACTAACTACAGTGCTTATATCAATATCAACAGATTGTAATAGAAATCTAGTTTTGTTAAATGTACTTTATTAGGTACATTCTACATTCACAATCTATTCTGGTATAATATTATATTATTATAGTTATTTTTTATTATAAGTAATAATTATAAATTATATTTTCGTATTGTACTCACTAGGTAAAATGAGCTACAAATAAATTTTACATTTTTTCCCATTTCAATATTTTGCCGCCCCTAAACCTAATTTTAATATTGCCGCCAGGGGCAATTGCCCCTCCGAGCCCTCCCTTAAATACGGGCCTGATTACAGTGACTGTTTAGGCACTTTATGTACGGAAGAGCGTTACTCACTCACACCCTCTTAGATTCTGAGTGGAACGATGAATGTTCTGATTTTACAATGATGTGTGTGTTTTTTTATTTTTTTTTTGTTTTTTTTTTGTGTCTGTCATCACCTTTTAGGACAGTAAAACTGCTTCGATTTTATCCAACAGCAACTTTTCTGATTGGAAAGTGAATCTAGTTGGTACTTTGGGGGGTCAAAAGTAAAAATTTCCCAGTAGTTTTCAAAAGTGACTTGAAAAACAAAAGAAAAATTAAGGAAAAACGGGGATTTTTACGCAAAATCGATTTTTAACAAAATCGATTTTGGTTTTTGGTGTAACTCAAAAAAAAATGAACGTAGATATATGAAATTTTCACAGGTTGTTTATATTTGCATTTTCTATACACGGTAAAATTTTGAAAATAATTTAACTCTTTTTGAACTGTTTACGGACATTGTCAGTTTTCAATTTTTTTAGTTTTTGTTTCTATAAATATCAATAAAATTTTATTTGTTGGTTAAAAAAACTTTAAAATTTAATACAAGGCTCCTAGTATATTGTTTCTAAGGCAGATGAAAAAAATTAAAAATCCTTAGTCACAGTTTTTTTTTTATGAGCATTTAAAGTTCAAATATTGACAAAATACGTAAAAACGACGAACATTTGGAAATTATTTTAAGTTAGAAATTCATAAAAAATTTTGTTTTTAAATCTAAGATTTTAAAATTTAATACAAGATTCCTTATAAGTTTGTCTACCTTTATCAAAAAAAAATTTTTAGAAGAAAGTCAAATTAAATTTTTATGAGCGTTTGAAATTCATATTTTTACAACATTTGATATTCACTCGATTTCTCATGTAACGATTTTCTGTTTTTGTTGTAATTAAAAAACGAATGGCTGTAGATACTTGAAAATTTCACTGAATGTTGATATTAGCATTTTCTAAACACGATAAAATTTTGAAAATAATTTGACTCTTTTTGAGATGTTTACGGACATTGTCAATTGTCAATTTTCTTAGTTTTTTTTTCTATAAATACCAATAAAATTTTATTTGTTGGGCGAAAAAGCTTGAAAATTTAATGCAAGGCTCCTGATATATTTTTACATTAGTAATTGTAAAATATTTAAAATACATAGGCACAATTTTTTTTTTATAAGCATTTAAAATTCGAATTTTGACTCAGATATATTGGTATTAATATGTCTTAAACCAAGACTGACATACCGTCTCCATTCAGAATCGTTTTTCTTATATTTTTATTTAAGGTTTGATTTATTAATTTCTGTTGCATTTGATTATTTGAACCATATTAATCGTTCTTTCTATTTTTTTTTTGTTTGCCCGCCCCATGTTGTACTACTCAATATTGACAACGCGGAGCATTCATTATTTTTTATGAAAAACCTATATTAGCATTCACGTAAACCAACTTAGACCATGATTTTACATTTTTAAAATATAATAGACAATTTTCCAAATTATATGTTGTAGCTGGGTAGGTAATTTTCAACAATTTTCTCCAATTATCGCACCCATCTGTAAAAAATTAAAAATTTGACTATAGGTAATAAGGTACTATTCAGACTAAATTGTATTAAGGTTAGTCTTGTTTAAATTTATCCTAAGTATAACTTTGACTATGGTTGAACAATAGTGTCCCAAGCTGAACTAAAAATATAATATGTAATTTCCAGAAATGAATGCAGGATGCCTGCAGGACTGTAATAATTTATTATACAGAATACCTAGTATATTTTACACAAATGCGAACATGTTTTTTATTATGATTTTTTTGTATAAAACATCTCATTCATTTATTCAACATAAGTTTTCAGACGTTAGCAAAACGATAGATAGGTATTAATATATAATTAATTGATAAAAATACCTTCATAAGTTTAAAATTTGATGCTGTGACATTGCCAAAGTGATTTTAAATATTTTTAAGATAGCAACACAATATTTGTTTCACATTAATTATAATTAATTGATAAGAAACCATTATGGAAACGTCGAGTTGTATATACTATACAAGTATAGTTTATACAATTCGATGTATTTTTTTTTTTTTTTTAAGAAATCGAAATCGAAAACAAAACATATTTTATGCAACAACATTAAATTGAACAATAATTGATTAACCTCCTGTAAGCTTATGCAGCTTGTGCTGGAGATAGGGAGTTATGATTACTGCTAGATATTATAAAAAATAACAAAATATAAATGTATAAGATTTTTGAGATTTAAAACTACAAATTAAACAAACTAAACAAATCTAAAAAACTTAAATTTAAGACTAGAGAAAATACTCCTAAAAGATAAGAAAAAAAAGTTTTATTTTATGTAGAACTACATTATCGATAAATAAATAAATAAAATAAATTAAGATAAATTAAATCATGTGTGTATGGAGGTACAACCAGTGGCGCAAATAGGAAAAATATTTAGGGGGGGCTCAAGCCCCAACACATTTTTTTTAAAATTATAATTTATAAGTGCATACTTTTAAGAATGGTATCTGTATTTATTCAATTCTAAAAGTAGTTTAGTATCATACATAGTACATTTATATATATATTATATAATATTATATAACATGAAATATTTACTCAAATAAATAGATATATTTAATGTAATTGTATACGTCTCTCGGTTTTTTCAAAAATATTTAGTATGTCTTCATTATTGATAGGAATGTCTTTTTCTATATTCATAATACTTAAATTGCTGAACCTATCTTGATTCATACAAGTACGCAACCATGTTTTAATACGTCGCATAGTGGAAAATGATCTCTCACAGGTCGCTGTACTTACAGGAAGAGTAACAGCTACTTGAAACATCTTACAAAAATTTGGGAATACTTTGCCATCATATAATGTTAAATGCTGTTTTATTTCCTCTAAACTAGAGTTTTCACCCAGAATGTTTCTTAAAACAGACATTTCAGACATCAGTGATTGATTACAAATTCCAAATAAATCCTGAACAAATATTAAACATTAGTTAAATACTTGAAAAATAATAAGTATTTTACATGTACCTTGTAATGATCAATTAAAAATGAAGAACCTTCAAAATTCAATTTTAGTAAATTATCTACTGATGAGGCTACTTGAAGGCTTTCTTCAGAAAATCTTGTTTTTAAAACATTTATCATTGTATCTAATATACAATAATAAGCTTTCTTTTGCCAATAGTTTTTTTTCGTTTCTACAATATCTGCAGTATGATCATCACTAGCACTAGTTGTTGACAAACAAACAAAATCTTTGAGTTGAGATGGCTCTTTTCGTAATCTTTTCTTCGGTACAGCTATAACAAAATAAACAAATAATTATAAAGTATAAATTAATTCAGTATTTTCATATTTTTTTTTTACATTTCAAAGGAATTTCAAGAGAAATTTCATATTTAGTGCTAAATTCAAGCATTTCATTCCAAAGTGTAGTATAATGTTGTTCAGAATCACGATGTTCTTGTAAAGTTGTAATTACTCCAGTTATTAAAGATTTAGAATTGCCCAGGGTTGCTGATTTTGATTGTAAATGGTTTGATAGTATATGAATAATTTGTAAAACTTCCTTTAATATGAATAAATATATTACAAATTCATCGGACTTAATTGTTGAAATAATACCTAAAACAAAATAATATAAGTTCAATATTTTTCACTGAATAATAAAATAAATTATTGTTACCATTAAATTATATAAATCTACATAAATCAATACCAATTGCTTCTGCAACATCTTTATTTTTTTGAGCATCAATTTCCTCTTTTAAAGACTGAATTAATACACCATAATTTTGTATGACTGAGCTACAACTTTTAAAACGACAAGCCCATCTTGTTTCACTTAACTGAACTAATGATGTTTTTTTCAAACCAAGTTGATTTTGAATTTCATTGAATTTTTTATTTTTTGAAGGATATGAGAAATGTACGTATATGGCTTCTAGTCCATTAAATAATTTTCTAAGATCCTAAATAAATAAAATAAGGTTTTAATTATTATAAATTATTAATTGGTACAAAGTACCTAATAAAACATTTTTCAAACAAATAATAAATAATAGGATTACTTTCAAATATTTGCATGTGTCCACAATCACTAAATTTAATTTGTGAGCCATGCAATGGATGTATATAGCGTATGGATAAATTTGCTTAAGTTTAGTTTGGACACCTCCTTTCTGACCAGACATTACATTTGCTCCGTCAAAAGACTGGCCAACAATTGGAATATCAGATAAATTACAAAAATGTAAAAAGTCGATAATGGATGAATATAATGCATCAGCATTTTGACTATATGATACATCAACAAATCCTAAAAAACGTTCTTTCACCTCCAAATTGTTTGTATAACGGATACAGATGGACATTTGCTCTTCCTTATGAGATCTGTATTCAAACACATTAATATTTATTATTTTAAACTGTTCCAAAATAACTAAGCATCATTCTTAAAAATATTTATTTTTATTTACCTGGCTTCATCACATGAAATGGAAAACATGCCACACTTTTTAACTTCAGAAACAATATTATCTCTCACATATGAAGCACAAATATTTATCAAATCATTTTGAATGGCCCAGCTAGTATGATTAGTTGAGTTGAAAATATATTTTTTCTCAAACTCAATATGATGTTTTGAAAACAACATGCACAGCTCTTTAAAATTACCTTAAATAAGAAATTGAAATATACTTAATTTTTAAAGGTAATCAAATCATTATAATCATAAAGAATATTATTTATTTATCTTTACCTTTATTTAAAGCATCATCATTTTCACGATGACCCCTAAATGGAAGTCCCTGCCGTCCAAGAAATATAACAATGTCAATTAAACATTTAATATACTGCCGATTTTTGTCAATGTGCTCCTTGTTGGCTGTTGATAATTTGGAGATGATACTACCTTGTTTTAAAGAATTTTTATATTCTAACCATCTTGACATACAATTAATGTGATTAATTGTTGAAGCGTGCAAACTTAGTTTTGATTTTTTGGTCTTTGAATCTCTTGACCCACAAAGCTATAGACAATTAGATAAAATATTGTGTAAAATATATTGTAATTATAATTATAATTATGCCTATCATTTTACCTAATAGGTACATAATTTAGTTTTCATTTTATTTTAAGTTTAAAAAACATAGGTACCTACCTAATTCAACTTTAAACTAATTATTAGAATTTTAATAAGAATAGTTGTGCAACTTACTTTTTTCCAGTTATTAAATCCTATAATAGTAAATGTTTCTTCCGTTTGACGAGCAGTTCCAAAAATACGACATGGAAAACAAAACACGCTATCTTTTTTAATACTATATTCGAGCCAATTAAACTCACTAAAGTGAGAAGGTGTAAATCCTCGATTTTGACTTCCAAATTTTGTCTTAGGATACTCCTTTTTAAACAATTTTGAAAATCATATTTATAATATTAATATATAATATAGAAGTTGTAATTAAAAGTCTACTTACCTTTAATATTGGCTGACGTGGTCCTGAACTTAAATTACCCAAATCAAGTTCATCATCTATAGGCACATCATTTAAATCGTTTTCTTCATAGTTTTTATCTGCAATTATACTTTCAGTATTTATTGCAGACGAAGGCTTAGGCGAATGTTCCAACACATTTAGTAGATCGTTAGAGTTTTTTTTTTTATTAAAAATACTAAACATTTTCTTTAACGAATTTAAATGTATATACTAATATAAATAATATAAGTATTATACTAGGTACACAATTATATAATAGATCACACGATATTACGAGGTACGGTACGTTACGTGCCTATGTGAAACACTGAAAAGTTCAAAAATGAAATGACTGAAACGGTTAGATTGAAATGTGAACTGGACAACATTTAACTGGGTCTGTGTGCCGACTATGCCGGTGCCCGGTGATCACTAATCAGTACAATATTAGTATAAATATGATACACGAACAAACCAGTATAATATTCATTAGGAGCTATTTAAAAATGTTTTTGGTTTTCCCAATTATTAGCGATTGGCCTACGTCTACGTGACTTATCAGACCTCACCGTCACCATAGTTGTACCGTTCATATTTTGTTTAATAATAACTATATTATATAATATTATTTAGACATTATTATATAATACATTAATACTACTGTAGTACTGTCTAGTAATATTGTTTATTGTAATATTATTTTATTTTATAAAAGCAATTGTCTTATTAGTGTTAAGAAAAAAATTTTAATAACAATGTAAAAAAATAAAACCGGTAAAAATAACTTATTAAGAATAACATACATATATTATACTATTATTTTTTGAGGGGGCTTTGAGTTATTTTGGGGGGGCTAAGCCCCCCCAAGAGCCCCCCCCCCCCTATTTGCGCCACTGGGTACAACTATAAAATAATATTTTTGCCCCAGTCAAACACACGCCTCAAATTGGCCCGTTTGGTGGTCTAGTAATTACGATTACGAAATACGACCAAGGAGGGCATTACACTGTTTAATTTATAAATTATAGAGAGGGGCTGGGTTAAACCAGCCGTTTTACGACTATAATGATATGAATAATGATGGTGTAATACTTATACTTTAATATTAAATGAGTGAATAAAAAGATTAAATTAACGCTTTTCGAATAAATATTACACATTGTTGCCAGGTGCCAGCACTTTGGACGTCGGTAATTGTAAACGTAAATGTTTAAACAAATTAATATTGTCATTCTGATAATTTTTATTTAAAAAAAAAAACGAGCTTTTAAAAAATCCGTTCAATTGCTGTATAATTTCTATATTTTTCATGTATTCAAACTTCTGAATTTGTTCACAACAATTGCGATGTTTTGACTCCTAACAGGGAACTAGTTATATACATTCATTTTCACCAAAATCTTCACCAGCCCGGATAGCTCAGTCGGTAGAGCATTAGGCTTTTAACCTAAGGGTCCAGGGTTCGAGTCCCTGTCCGGGCGAATCTTTTTTGTCTTTTTTTTCGGAGGATTTTTTATTGGTCAATACTTTATTAATACATTTTAATAAAGTCCGATGATTTCTAACGGTGCTTTTAAAAATTTGGTTCTTTTACTGTTATTTATTATTAAAATTATTGATTTATTGTTAGACATTTTGAACGGAACATAATATGCAATGAAGTGTTTTTTCTACACGTATTACAACAGAAATATACTTAAACCTCGAATCGTTCTTATCACAATTGAGAAATATCGAAAATACATGGTTACAATTTTTCAATAAGCGTTTAAAGTTAAAATGTATCAAAATAACGAATGTTTGCAAATTATTTTATAGTTGAAAATTCATACAATCTTTAATTTTACCTCCTAAGGTTTGACAATTGAATATAAGATTTAGGTTTAATAACTTTTTTTTTTAACGGAAATTTAAAATAAAAGTTCAGCGTGGTACAGGCCACGAACATTTTTCATGAGCGATTTAAGTCAAAATGTTGTCCCACGATTTTTGTTGTAATTCAGGAAAATATTAACTGTAAAATATTTAAACTTGCGACATACATTATATTTTTATAGTTGAAAATTAGTTAGATTTTCACATTCAACAGCTTAGGCTTGACAATTTGATACAATGACTCTCATAAGTTATTAAAATCTTCAAAAAATACAAATGCACAATTTTTTATAGGCATTTTTGTTTAAGTTTCCATAGGAAATAAGATGTTTTGATGAAAAATAATTGTTTTAATTATTTACGCATACGTATTACCTATGTTTTTATTATTAAAAATCAGTCGATCGCTGCAGGAACTTGAATCTTTTTACAATTTCGTATGTTATTATTTACATTAAGCATTGACATTTTCAAAATATTATGATTCATTTTTATCTTTTTATACTGTAAACTATTTCACACCAGTCCACGGTACGTCGATATTAACTTGTCACATGAAATAATATTGTAATAATTTGGTGTGTACTATTTAACATTTGCGATTTTTTTTAAAGAAAATTTGATCAACCAACCATATTTTTTGCATACAAATAAATTACCCATAGCAATATAAATAATATTACATGTATAGATAAATCCTTTGAAAGATCGGCTGACAGATCGTCTCCACTTGGAGTCATCGTTTTTAATCACAAACCATGATTTATCATTGAATTCAAATTTAACATATATCCATATCCACGACAGTAACCTTTAGTCAATGACGAAGTTTAAGTACACTTGCCGCTTACTATAATTACTATACAGCACACGTCTACCTAATACCTATGATTGTTTCAAAATATGTATGTATACGTGTAAAATATAGGTACTCAGCAATATCCCAAGAAAGATCGATAAATATATTTAGCAGTTAAGCATACCGAAGAATAATGCAACATCATTGCATATGGACATTAGAAAAATGGTCAACAATTTCAATATTTCGAAGGCAATAGGAGAAAACAATATAGGTACACATTTCTGAACAGATCAATAACAATAATTGTATCAGTTATTGATTTGCAAAAATTAAATGAGAATATTCTTGATTTGCTATACATTTATGTTATAGCGAAAATAATTGTTCACATAATATTATAATTTAACGCTTTTGAAATTTGTTCATAATACACATTATGTGTTTGTGTAATAATATTATGTGTATATATTATAATTCAACCTCTATACGCGCGTATTATTGTATTAATTCCAATACTCAGTTTTTTTACGAGCTTTGCTCGGTCCCTCGACACTTTAATGGTGTGCATAACGTTTGTATATCATATTTTTGTCGGTGGGGTGGGGTGTACGTGACTGGAGGGGAAATGATATGGCCCTCGGCGAATTTTGAGTGAATTTTATGCCGGTGAACACTGCAGCAGACGACGCTAGCTATATTGGGCTACCACACGCATTCCTCCCATATCGCCGTGCGGTTGCGCGTTAGCCGATATCATTATATTATGGGATGTCCGAGTCGGATGTATATACTACCTACAAACTCTGAACTCATTAGTATTTAGTTGTAATTAACGCAGTTACGATTCGATACCGACCGTTTTTAATTAGTTCGGTGTATAGGCGATTTTCTAAGTGTGCGCGTGCGTGTCGTGCAAATGTGTGCGCAGCAATAGTGATCATTAGACGTGTATATAGTGTGTAAAAGAATTAGCGGAGCGCTACACGAATATTAATTATTTTGTTTGTTTGTTTGTTGGTTTTTTTTCTTCTTTTTCTAACGCGCAGTATCAATCTTTTGCCAATTCCACCGACTAACCTAGTTATCCGATACCATTTCTGAAAATATTATGTATTTTGAATTCGTATAATGAAGTTTACTTGAAATCGACTTCTTTACTTGCGTTTGAATTGCATCTGTTGACCTTAATTATTGTATTATTTAAAAATTTGACTTTGCCATGATATAATATAATATTAATGAAGATATGGTTTAGATTCTAAGCAGAGCAATAAATGTATTTATATTCTATAATTATGTGTGTCTTTCTTTTTGTCTTTTTTAGTTTCAACTGCACCTTTTGTGGATTTAAAAATGCATCGACTTTCAACTTTGCAAGTGGTCGTTTCTGTTATCAAATTGAATCTAGCTGGTACTTTTGGGAGTTAAACGTGACCAATTACAAAATTAAAACAAAACGATCAGTCCTTTTCAAAATATTCTGGAAAACGAAGATTCTTTACCAAAACCAGTATTTGAAAAAAAAAATTTTTTTGCCAACTCTAAAATTGGAAACTGCAATAATTTGACATTTTAACTAAATATTTATAGTTCCATTTACTAGGTATGAAATGATTTTCAAATATTTTGAATTTTTTTTGTTGCTATATTTATAGGTATTTTAAATTGTCTATTCTAACTTTCTTAGTTTTTTTCGATTTAAGAATGATTATATTTTTGATTCGGCGTAAAAATGTTTGAAAACAAAACGTAATATAATAGGTTGAAAGTTCTTAAATCCTAATAAGTAGCTATTATTGGAATTACAAAAAAAAGTTGATCATATTTCACAAATAATTTTGATGAGCGTCTGATTAGTTTAAATTTTGACGATATTAAATATTTATACGTGTAAAATAACGATTTCTCATGAAACAATTTACTAACTTTGTGGTTATTTATAAACGAATAAACGTAAATACCTACTTGACGTTTTCACTAAACAATGGTATACCTATAATATAATTTTAAATAATGTAATTTTCTATACATGGGCATCATTTTATTTTTTTTCTATAAATATCAATAACAAGTTATGTTAAAAAGCTTAGAAATTTAATTCAAGAACGCATGTTATTATTATATCTACTTAAAATTAAAATTTTTAATTTTTAAAATTTTTAATTTAGCTTCTAGTCATAACTATTAGCTCAGCAACTATGCCACAATAATATTTATGCAATAGACTATAAAATATTAAAAATATTAAAAATACACATTTGTGATTATTCTTTATAAGCATTTAAAGTTCTAATTTCGACAACATTTTTCAAAATCATGAAAATTTGAACATCATTTTATAGTTAAATATAGGTATGTATAAACTAGTAAAATGTTATAGCCGAGGATTTTCAATTTAATACTAGGTTTTTCATCATAAGTAGCCCAATACTAGAAACAAAACAAATCTAAAACTATATGTATAAACTTGGTTAATAAAAATATTACATTCATATCATAATCCTTTGCGTTCTGTGTAACATTCATGCCCCTCAGAAGATCGTATACATAGGCACACAATGTCACAATGTGAACTTGATCTTAACCCAATAATCATTATCAAGATATAGGTACTCAACGTCTATGTACTGCAATTAATATGTTTTGTGACATTATGCGTTCTAGTATTCCACTAAAAATTGTAAGCACGCTTGTGCAACCTGCACGTATATTAATATCGTATTTCAATATCAACCTTCCGCGTTTAATATTACTTATTCGGATATAACTTTCGATTGTTGTACGAAAGGTAGATATGATTAAATATATATATGACGTCAATGGTGGCATGTAAATATGACCTTTCGATGTACGTAAATACACTCATCGCTCACAAAACTTATTACTACAATATTTACTGTGCGCATACAGTCCCTGATGCAGTCCAGTTGTATATAATATTAATATATTACGTTTATATTATAGTCATACTTTAGTATTAATATAA